CTACTACCTTAATTTGATAAAAATCACGACATTATTGTCAGGATATCTATTCCATAAACTTTATAGCTTCTCATCTGGATTTCATAAGCACACACTATAATGTAACAGACACGTGCACCATCACAACATAGAAATAATGAGGAGCATGATTATCAGAAGCCATGTGACGGACGAAAGCTTAGCACCTTCTCACCGGAACCAAAGGAGAATACCTCGGAAACTGCGCCAACAAGAATGTTCCAGTAAAGCCAATCGACAACTGGTCAAGAGGAATCTGGGGGAATCGACTTTCGAATCTCTTCACCAAACACTTTTACTCGAAATAGAAGTAAGCTCAACAATGATTTAGGTATAAATCGCTGCCTAAAACATGAATTCTCTCCTATTCACTGAAGCACACAAATCTGGTTACGTTAACGATCAAACTATTAAGTTAATACGTAAATGATTAATTTACACGTCGATTACTAGTTCAAATAAGTTTTGGAGAAAAGATGGAATCGCACTTAGGTCTTTTACATTTGTGTGTATGACAGTTGCGACTGCCCACAATGAGTTGAAGAGTGCTCCATTTTTGCATTAAATTAACCTATACGGTGCATACTAAAAAAACAGGTCTTGAATGCAGCCTGAAATCCTCTCATCAGGACCTTATGAGGCATTCGAAGTGTTGGTGCGAGAGGGAGAGGCAAGCCTCCACAGCTAGAAGTGCCCCCAAGTGAGGTCTGAACACTAATCAGATCCGGACGAGGAGAATGATTAGAATCAAGTAATGGGATTTTAGATGGCATAGAAAAGCGAAATGCGAGCCATTCGCTGTGAACAGTTAACATAAATCCAATGAAAGGGGATTTAGAGAATATAAGCGAAACCTGCTTCCGTACAGACAGACGTAGGGCCCGACGTTTGACTGTGGCTGCACGAGAGGCAGGGAATTTAATGTATTCGTGATAAGGAACTAACTTTGGGTGGCACAATGTCATTAATGGACCGATGGTATATTTTGCTAACAATGTAATAAGAATACCAGACGACACTACTCAACTTCATCCTGTCATCATTACTGAAATCACATCAAGCCACGAACTGAGCTCGGAATAAGTCGGCCTCTGCACATTACGATAGGGCACTTGTAGTTGAACGTCGGATCTTTCAGGTTTCCTTTTCCACACTGATAGATAAATTATTACGTTAGGATGAATTACAGTGGTGTCTCAGCACATGCCTATTGGGATATATGCATGTTTATGTAGTCTTGATTTTTTCCTTTTATGAGTCTGTCCATGACGGTTGTTGGGGGTACTTTCATTTCGTATGATAGTGCATGAAGAGGAGAGTTGAGGCTCCATCTCGCCAGAACACGGCTATAATACGACGTTCAGACTGGCACAGCCCATGAGACCTTGCTCGTTTCGGCTGAAAACTGGCTGCGCTTTCTTTCATCATACTATGGCCCTCTTGCCCTAATGTTAGCGTGATACTTTTACATAAATGAGACCCAGCTCTGATGATGTCCATCGGATGAATGATGGACTAAAGTGAGGTATCGTGGACTGCGTCAACCTAAACGTCGTATTGGAAGCCAAACGGCTAACGTACAACGCGTCCGTCCTCTTCTGGTTAGATAGACCTACAAATCTTTTCTTCATGCACTTTAATACGAAATGAAAGTCCCCTCAACGATGTTATCTCGGGAGATTCACCGAAGCCCAGTTTCTCTTCGTGACCATGACGAATTAGAGGGAAATTTAGACGAGTATATTGGAATAACTTTGCCAAGTAAACCAAGATCCGTTTCAACCCAGGCCTTACTGCATATTAGATTGCTACAAAGCTCCGTCATGCTTGATTTACGCATGTAACAATGCTAAGCAATCGAACATGCTGATCACCCTAGGCCGGCACACAGCCTGGAAATCGGGGGAGAGGGGTAATGGAGCCAATGCATGGAAGCAGCAATACAGCCTGAATTGTAGTATTTTGGCAAACATGGCTAAATGAAATTCGACGGCATCGCGAGATCGGCGCATATCGCTGTGAGTGAAATGCCATTAGTCACAGGCACGGTATCTTCAGCCCAACAGTAGATGAACTAAAGGGGCGAAGAGAAACAGATACTTTCTATTATTCACTAAGCCAGTCGTCTGGGCATTCGCAGATGAGCAAATCCATGACGCCAGGCCGGATACTTCTTAAATGTCTGCCGTCGTTGCCCTTCTAGAGGAATCCCCAAAGTATACGTCAGAAGAGGTGATTTGGAAAAGGCTTCGCGAATATACCACCCAGGCTATTGCACACAGACAAGATAAGAGCATGGCGAGACATCGAAACTATAATGGGTAATACGAGAAGTCAGTAGTCATTGTATAAAGGACAAATGGGCAGGGCTAAGCAAGCCTGTCTACGATGCAGAATAGAATAAGCTTTGACTTGAACTTGCAACGCCTCTGGCACATATCCCTAAATGTTGACTTGCGATGATTGAGGAAGGCTGTACCAAACGCGTTAACCAAAATTATTTTAAATTGCTTCAATGATGGGCCTGTCTGCATGTAACTATTTTGCCTACGAGAAATCGAGGCTGACAGTCCTTAAGCCAAAAGGAACCACTGTATCTCGCTCACTCGTAAACCGATAACACACCACCACCAAAGAAATCCATTTGCATTTGGCCCGGGCTGTTAAGACGCTCAGTTGTAATGCGTCTGATGTATCAACAAGAAGCTCAGCAGCCTAGCCTTATGGTGACTTGAGACGCCAGACTTGACAACACGTCTTCGGCATTGAACACCATAGCACTGGCGAGCCTGCAAGCAGTGCATCAGCTATGTTAATAGCGAAATTTGTCCTTACCAAGACAGCAGAAAAAATTACAGACGTCAGCGCCTAGAGAAACGATGTCGAGGAAAACAGCCTTAACTCCCTCTTCTACATGACTCCCCGCCTCAGAGATACCCAAGTCGGTTGGGTGTCGAAGGGTGCACAAAAAACCTCGGTCTCGCCTTTTTTGAGCAGCAGTTGAGCAAAACACCAATCAGGCGTTGAGCGTTGAGGTTCTGAAGCACAGAGAACTTGGACGAATGTAGACTAAATAGGCCGGGAGAGCATAAACTAGGATGATCTCGAGAAGGCTGTTGTGGGTTAGGCCCCGCCAGACCTTTGGCATGGGATCTCGATAACTTCAAAGTGGGGTCAAGGCAAAGAGATTCTCAGCCAGCTTCTACTCCAGTGAAGATACGATGTACCCATTGTATCGAGACTTTAACGCTATGAACCAAAAGAGAAGATAAAACACAGGATAAATGTGATAAACGTTTCGTTTACTTTGATAACAAAGTCAGGGATGTGATAGGTATTGAAGTAGAGTCACAATCAGACAGACGAGGCCAAAAGGCAAATGAACAACTCAAGCTGACAAACATGCAC